TTTCTTTTTCTTCGTCTCTGAGTCCTCTCTGGCATTTCATATACTTCATTGCCAGTAAAATAACTTTTTCCCCTCAGGCAGGGAGAACTGGGACTGGGACCCTCCAGGAGGGACAGAACCTCCTCTTGGGGTGATGTTCGGGGTGCTACCCTTTACGCAGTCCCTGCCTTAAGAGGAAAAGGAAGAATTGTCACAATCTATAAAATATTGAATATGAATTCTTCCGTCGTCGTCGTCGATGTTGAGGAGAGGTCCCCAGGAGACAAATCTCTCCAGGCTTCCTTCAGTGCTCCTTGCGACGTAGTGATCCTCTTTAATCTTTCGTATGATGTTACCCTGAAACTTAAAACGGGGATTAGAACATGACCTTTTTTTGTCTGAATCCTCTCTGGAGCCGCGCGAGTTCTTTTTGGCAATGGAATGCTGGATGAAGCAAAAAATGCTCTTGCATTTTTCTACCATCGCCTGAGAGCGCGAGGTGAATTTGAGTTCCTGATGGATCGTGATCCCTCTCTCGACTCTCGCCTTGTTCTTCCTTCCTGATTGGGAAATCTATTGATACTTTCGAGTCTAGGCAAATTCGTTGATTTTTACACGTAAGGCTTAGAGTTAAATCATAGGTGCAAACCAGAAATAGATGCGATCGTTTGACCTTGTCCTGAGGAATCCCGCTCGTTCGACGGACAAACGCCATTTACGATCTGCTTTCGTTCCGGCAACCAGTTACTCAATCACCTTGAATCTCGTGCGCCTCCGATTTAGCCAGTGACCTCTTATGAGGAATGGCATCGAAAGCTTCAGCGAGGTCAAAGTAGACGATATCAACAGAATTTCTTTCATCCGTCTCATCCGTCACCCAATCGCAAAATACCAAAGCAAATTGGTTTGATGATTCCGTCGTCTCCTAAAGATATTTCTGAGCAGTCCTCTTTGGCGAGCAATTGGGAAAATCCAAGGAGCTTTGTCCATCATCCTTTCCCAGCTCCTCGGCGCTTTCATTTCGAGCAGATCCTTATACAATCCGTAATTGCAGAGATCTCTCGCTGAAGTAAGAAGTACTTTGTCTGATCTTGGCCTGATCAAAGGGGGCCTGGCCCCCTTTTTTTTAGAGCGAAAAGATAGGCACTGCTCTTCGCCGCTTGCACCTACTTTTACCCATTTTAAAAACGCCAGGCTTTCAATGCCCAAGATCGATCATGCTTAATTTGGCGTGATTTCATCGGTGTTGTACAATATACAACATAATTTTTTTCCCGCCAAGATTTACACTGTACATGTCTCTTGCTCTTGCAAAACGGTTAGGGAAAACATGGCGTCGGCTGACTCCATCTCATCATGGGATTCGCTTTCGATTTTTCTCAGCTTACGTATCATGAGGAATCCCCAAGAGCTTATGAGGTCATTGCAGTGCAACTGTCCTGAAGGAACCTGTTTCATTCAGCTACACCTTCGTCCGTTTTATGAATTTCACAACGACGAAAGCTCTATTTCATTGAGCGCTGCGCGGCTACCCGGAATGTGCGCATCGAGAACTTGCAAAAAAGCGTTGCTCTAGGTGTCTTGGGTCAAGACCGTTTCGATGGATCCCACTCTTGCAGGTTTGAACAAAAACGATTCAGACCTAGAAAAGAGTGAGAAATATTCGATCTGAGGTCGATTAGGCGCATAATCGGATACTGGTGCTTAGAAGCCCCATTCCATCCCCAACTGCACGAGTGCAATATGAAGTTGTCTAATTCGGGAATTGGCTCACTCGAGTGACGACATGGAAATATTCTCCGGGACGTTAGTCAGCTTCTACTTTCCTCTGACGTTTTACCAAATATCAAAATTCAGACTGGAGATACTGACATTTTCCGGAGCAATTCAACTCTCTTCAGAAATGTTGAAATGGCCTTCAGGCTACAAAAAAAAATTCCTGCCACGAAAACCTCAACATGAAGACAAATGTTCCCAGCTGGAAACTTGAAAAACATCCCTTGGTTAGGTTCATTTTGCATCTTGATGTAAATGAAAGTGAAGTACTGAAATATATCATTTGTTTTGATATAGTAGTGTTCAATGTGGATTGTACCTTTATTGTAAACGCTGATCCATGCTTGGCGTGAATTACAGTGTTTTTCGCTTGAATAATTTGACAGTTGACTCAGACACCCAAGCATGAGGAACATCCCATGCACAAGTGTCTAAGTCACGAGAGCAATTGCCTGGTTCATGTGAAAAAGACTGTAAAACTAGATGCAATTTCTTGAATTTCTATATATCATCTAATATACGGGGTGTTTCAGATTTCGGAGCACATAAGAAAATTACATAGTGAAATAATGAATGCTTTTTTAATTGAAATGTTCTTGCTTCATTTGACCTCATATGACTTTAAAACGCTAAAATTATTTTTTCTTCATGTGGCACTCCAGTCACTTGTCATTCAGATCAGCTGTTCGATGTGGACACTTGACTAGGAAGCAGTACAGGCGTAAATCAGCATTAGATATCCCGGCTCATGATTCACCATTTCCTGCATCACTTCAAATTTCGCTCCGCCTCTCCGAGTTATCTTCATATGACTCACTGATGGCATTGAGTTTTACAGATGTAATTCGTGAACTTTGAGGATGCTGAAGCGATCCCCACGTCAAGTGCCACCTTATGAACGGGGTTTCCAGCGCATGGCTCCCCAGCAACACTGCCAGTTTACTTCAAGCGTTCCACTGTATTCGTCATCATTGTCAGGGAAGGTGTTGGGCGATCTGGACGATCTTAGTGGAATGCGGCGGCTGCTTGCCGTTCTTTGCAATCAGGAATATCAATTCCGCATGTTCTGCAATCGTGTACACCATTGTGAATAGCGTATTGAACAACTGACCACTACTAATTCTCTGATTCAATTCTGACTTTATTTCCACGATCATTTTGTTCTTCGATCTTTGGTAGTGCTTTTGAAATCTCGTAACCATGCTCTTCCTTGCTCAGTTCTTATGTTTACCTCCTAAGCGCCATATTTCTTGTGACTTAATTTCAAGGTGATTTATAAGTTTGTGGATACCACATAACCTCTGACGAAAACAGCAAATAATTTCGGCGTTTTCTAAGCCATATTGAGGCAATTAATGTAAGACTATTTTGACGTCAATGTGTTCGTTATTTTATTGTCTTTTCCCTCTGTTCTCCGAATTCTGAGATACCCTGTATATAAACGTGTGACTAAGGGACTGACTGACGCTGATCCTAAGTATGTTCGAGATATGATAATAAGCTGAATTTGGCGCGCGTGAAGTTGTTGTAGTGCTGATTTCAGGAAAAGTCCTTTTTCGAGACTATATCCTCTAGCAGCACTTCTTGGGAGGGAGGGGTGTTTCCCGAAATATTTTTTGCACATGGTGGTCATTACAGTTGTGTTCAAAAGAGTACTGTATGAAGGAAAAATTTCAAAATGAAAATTTCTGGGAGAAACTAACAGTTCACCCATACATTCTTCTCCAAAAAAAGCTTCAAATTGATTGCCTTTTCCAACAAGGAAAACTGTATCAAAGAAGAATATTTTGTGATGAAGCCCAATGGGGGCTATTGCTCCCAGTTTCTACATCTGATGTCATCTGATGTAGAGTACCTTACAGGCTTTTTGCGGCGGGTGGAGGCGCATTAGGCGATGAGTTGCAAATAGTCGCCCACTGCTTCTCATGCTGCAAGTCTTGGGATGCGAAAATAAAAATTTTCTCGAATCCTGTTGTAATTGACAGAGCAAATTTTAAAATTATTATGGGGGGACTTGGAGGGAGAATAAATATTAATTTAATGCGGCTAAACACCATGTTTTTTCAGTGAAGTCACACAGCCGTATCATCACGTCACAATTACAATTTTCTAAGATTTATGAGGTTTTACCACATTCCTTATCAAACGCGTGTGCTGAATGTTCACGTATACGAAACTTTAATAGTCATCAATTTACTTATACCGGCGTGTGCCGAATGCGCGAGAGCTGCGAGTTTGTTCGCTCGAAGGAAAAACTCCCATACAACGCAGCCCTGGATTTCATTGAGTCCATTTCGGGATCAGTCGACAAAGACTAATTCCCTTCGTAAAATCAGATCAACTTAGGGTTAAATGACTCGAGGGCATATGATATCCATCAAGGTGTCAACTGTAGAGCCGACGGACTAAGTCCCTGCGTTGTCATAGGGGTACACGAGGGGCGACATCTCGTAGAAGCAGAACAAAGTGCGACGTAGCAGGGTTCACTTGCAGAGGCCTTCTAGAAACAACCTTGGCCCACCTCAAGTCTAGCCCTTGGCACGACCATAGCTGGTACAAAAACACAGATCTGGTACTTCAGTGTCTTCCTCTTGAGTCAAACAGTTTTTCGCTTGATTTGGACACTCGTACATCAGGAATGTCCTATGAAATGAGTGTCTGAGTCAAGTGAAATTTTTGTTGCTGTGGAAAAAGTGTCAGACGCTGGTGAAAACGCTAGGTACGCCGTAGTTTTTCGAAGTGAAAAATAGTTGTGGGTGAACTCCTCACCCATCATAGACTTAGGCCCTAGGCTAGGCTTCCTTTCGCAACTTGATATATCAAGTTGCGAAAATTGAGCATTGGGCAAATTTTCAGCTTATAGTGTATTCAGACTGACATCGTCCATTTTCGTATTTGCGCAAGTCAGTTGAGTTCTTAATAAAATGACAGTTCGTGGGGTGAGGACGAGGGGAGAAGGGCAGGCCAACGAAGTCAACTTGGAAAATGTGGGCCTACGAACGTAAATCGAAAATATATGGAATTAATCCAGATTCACTGTGGGTCTGGGGCCTATGGTTTGCTGATCTTGTATACATGAATACAACATGATAGGTTTACATGTATGCCCTTGATGGATGCATAATTAGATTAATTTTGCGAAATAACAGGAATTTATCATTTTAGGAATTTCCTATGAGGAGTGATTCTTTTGTAGGTTTCATTGAAACACTATTGAATAGGCAACATTGAACAAGATTATCAGGATGCCTAAAATTGAGTCTGTGGTGCGAACACCAAGAGGGAAGGAGATTACAAAGGAAACAAAGAAGAAAAGCAAGTTCAAATGCTTTTTTAAGAGGAAGTCTGCAGTTGGGGACTCCTCTCAAAATCAAAATGTCTGCAAGAGTAAGAAGCAAGAAGCACTTCCCACCATCGAAGAATCTGTGAGTGGGCCAGATCCAGCAAAATTCATCAGTGACTCTCATCTGGTTCCACAAAAATCAGATTTTAAGGGTGCTGCTTCACCCAGTGTTGAATCCACCTCATCCATGTATCAATCCAGGGAGAGGAATAGGGAACACCATCCATCACTCAATGTTTCATCATGCACATTAGGATCTATGGATACTTTTCCCCGAAGGCCATCTGTGAATACAAGTCAAGATTTCATTAATTCCACCATGGACATGAATGAATCAAGACAGAGTGGACAATTCCAGAGGGGTCAGACTGGGAATTTGGAGAATATGCGAGTCATCAAGAGGCTGCTTGGAAGCACAACAAGCCTTTTCTCTCGAAATAGTACTCCCTCATTCTCAAGTATGCATGCCAAAGGAAAAGGATCAACTGCTGGCGTTATCTGGTGCAAGTTATGCCTCTCTGAAGTTCCTATTGGAGAAGTGTATCAACTTCAGTCCTGTGAATGCAGGTTTTGCAAAGAGGTGAATGATATTTTCAACTCTTTTTGAAATTTTGCTAGGGGTCTCTTCAGCTTCTCTCCATAATAAAACAATCTCAAAAACAGCAAGCAATTCATGAAGATGTCTTAGCTGTTATAATGATATGATGGTAGTCATGATAGTTGATACATACTTTTTCTTAATCTTATAGAAACAGCCAAAGATTCTAGATTCATAGAGCTTCTCTAATATAAATTGATCTGAAAAGAGAAGAGATGCCCTAGTTTGAGGGCAGCTTAACCCTATCGGACTTGGTGTCCACTGAGTGGACAGCAAAAATTTTGGCAATGATGATGGCTTTTTAACAATGGTAGACATACCTCAAAATTTGATGCATGCAATCAACTCGAGCTCATAATCTGTTGTGTTGTTTTCTAGTGGTAGAACATTGGACTATTATGGCAGAGTACCTCCTTAGATTTTAAATCAGAAAAGCCATATTTTTGTTTTGCTTTAAAAATTCATGCATGAAAGGGTTAATATGTTTTTGCAACAGATTTTTTATGTTATCAGCAAAAGCTATAAACTTCATACTTGTACATGCTTCATAGTTCATATCCCCACTGAATATTTCTTCCCAACATCTGCAAAAAACTCTATCCTTATCAGAGTCCTATTTCATCATTCATGATTTTTATACTGAGGTACACTTCATACCTTCAAGTGCAGCACCATAGGTAAACTCTTGAATAGATTAGTTCAATGACGTGCCTTGGCTATGATTTTCACAAAACTTGCCTTTGCATATCTCATTTTTCTTTCAACAGTGTCTCATTCTATATGCCTCATATGAAATCAGACAAGGCAAGGTTGAAGTTACATGCCCAGACACAGGCTGTGAGGATGGTGGCAGCCTCTTCATAACTGAACTTCAAGAGCTTGTCCCAGAGGAAGTTTGGAATTTACGAGAACGTCTTAAACTCTTCAGAGGTAAGTCTTTTCTGGTTTGTTCTTAATTAAGTAGGGAATGTTCTAAGAAAGAATTATGCATAGCTGCTACTCATAAATGACTTTCTTTTGACTTTCATTGCCTCCACTCATTATATGGCAGACTGATCTCTATAGGTATATACTGATTTGCTGAGTTTTCCTTTTTATGATCTCCAAAGTGCTTGCTTATTTAGTATATTGAAAGGAAGGAAGCTCTTGGAGACAGGACTCATTCATGCTGTGAATCAAATCATTCAGAATATTCTCAAATGAGATCAAGCAACTGCATAACATACTGCACAGATTGTCCATGTTCACTCTAGCAGTGAACTTCAACTTAAATCACATCACATCTTAAGGATCTTAATTTTCTGAAGTTATATTCTACTCTGCATAGAATTTTCCCCCAAGTCATAGATATGAGGACATTGTATCATACTGATTAGTTCCATGTAGTTCTAAGGTGTGGCAGGTGTTGCTGGGCACTACAGAGTGTCTTCTCATTCTATTGGTTAATCCATTATTGCATCAAGAAGACAATACAGTGCATGGGATTGACTTAATTTTTAAATTCAGTATACTTATTTTTGGACAGACTAATAGGTTTTAGCATGGACCTTGTATAAAATTGGGTGTAAAATCTCAGTATGAAGTGAAGCAGAAATTGAGAGCAATTTTTCTAGAGATCCATCTGTGCTTAATTTGAAGGTACCAATTTCCATGTGAACCTTAGTTATTAACTCCTGGAACAGAGGGACATCCTAGACAAAGAATCAAACACAGATAAACTAAATGCTATAGTACCAGAATCTCTGTCTTTTGTGTTTCCTGAGGGTGGATGGTGGCCATGAGCCCAATAGGTAAAAATGGTTCTGTTTGAAAATTCTTCCTAGTAATATTTTACAAGTGTATGTGCTTCATAAAATCTCTCTACATTGGGTATAGGGACATCATTTTTTGTTGAAGTGTGAATACATGCAATTGCAGATAAGTCATAATTATGATTTTTTATTTGTGATGTTCTGTAGAAATAGAAGAGGATCCTACTCGTTGCTGGTGTCCAAAGCCAACTTGTGAAGGAGTTTGCAGTTCCCAAGATGAGGTTCCACTGAAAGTAAAACAAAAGATAACATGTCCAGAATGCCAGTTGAACTTCTGCTCCAAGTGCCTGAGTGATTGGCACCCAAATCCTGATTGTCAAGAAGCTCCTCCCCCACACTCATTTGCCATCCCTGCAGATCTCAAAAATGTGATCAAGCGCTGTCCCTTCTGCAACATCTTCATCGAAAGGGATGCTGGTTGTGCCCAGATGTTTTGCAAGCGGTGTCATCATATGTTCTGCTGGCATTGCCTTACCATCCTTGATGTGAGTATACCTACACTGCAACATCTTGCAGGTTTTTTTTCATTACCTTTCATATAGTTTCATAACTTATGCATTATTTATTTTCTAGTATGACTACCTTCTTCGCCATTATACTTCTGGGCCCTGCAAAGGCAAGCTGGGGCACTCACGCATCTCGGTGTTGTTCTATCGCATCCAGTTCATCGGCATTGTTCTTGGATTTGGACTTGTTGCCATCTTAGCATCCCCTCTCTTGATTGTCATGGCTCCTTGTGTTTGTATGTATGGAGCTGTGTGTCATAATCGGAAGTAGGGAAGGGAACCATCCTGTGAATTTCCCATTGAGAGATATACTTCTTCAGTGATGCATTGTCCCATATTTATTTTTTTCATAATGAGGATGTCATCTTTCAGTGACTCTTAGCTTGAATGAATTTAACTTTTAATATCCCATTTCACCAGTTGGACCTTTAGGCAGGCTGTTATAAGTTGACTGTACCAGTCACTTGTGATTGATCCTTGCATTGTGATATGTGGAGGAGTTCATGATAAGTCGTCCATCTATGTCTTCATTTATTTTACATTTGTATTTGTGTCCTATCCCTTTTCATAAATTTTGAGAGTATGATACATTGTAAGGCTATGACATCTTTATGATCTTCCCAGTTTATAGTAATGTGGGTACTTACCTGTAGGAAATTTGATAGGACATCGAACGAATTAGGAGACATGACGTTTTACAGGATTGCCTGCATATATAAAATTAAAAATTCGTGAGAGTTGCATATTCACAATGAGAGTTGATATCTAGGTATATGTTGACTTAGTGTGAGCCCAGATTGTCTGAAGGAGAATTTACTTGTTCTCATATGCAACAGATGTTTTCACGAGTGATGAAATTATAATTTTTTTCATTCTGCATGTTCTGCTCAGAATGCCCTTGTCAAACTGGTATCTCCCTTTACTAACTGTGATTATCTATCAGTTGAACATGAAATGTCCTTTGTGATCTGATAACTATCATCCATGATTCCTAGAGTTTAGATAGACTGACTTCATTTGAACTCCCATATTGCCATGGAATGTATGTAGTGATATTAATCTATCTTGTGATAATTTTTTTCACTTGAGAACACAACTGAACTTTTAAGAAATTTGGATAATTGTTAGCTGGTGATATTTTCCTGGTGTGACCTTGTGATGTGGAGTAATAGTCTGTAGTTGGGTGATCCTGTATCAGTTTGTTTACTTTTATTACTGTATGACCAGATATCTGAATGTAATGACGCAAGAAGTGCGCGAAAGAAGAAAAACCTACCATGAGTGAAACAAAAAAAAAATTAGAAAGCTTGCTTCAGGAGGTTTCCCAACTTTATGCTAGTTTTCAGTGGTCATCCTCATTGAGATTTCCAATACCTGGACCTGTGCAAATTTTGCATGTTTTAAATAACTTGTATGACTCTGAATTTGACTGGCATGATCTTTAATTCTAAAAATATGAATTTGATTGAAAATGAAATTTTGATGGTGATCATTATTGTATCCCTGCATCTAATAATAAAAATTGTATTCCTTGCCACATCCCAAAATATAATTACAGATCTTGTGATTCTCTGTTTTGTTGAAATTATTACACTTTGGCTTTTTGTGCCATGCACTGCTAGTGATCAATTATAGAAGTATGCAACCTTGACTGGCCTCTCCCAGTGCTATGATTGAGGTTGAGGGTCAGCAAGCAGCTGCCTGTTGCATTAGAAGTTGAGCATGGTAATGGTGCATGGCGTTGTGGCCTTCTGTTGCTAACCTCAGCTATACTGGACTACAAAGGACTCCTTCACTTAACATGATTTCCAATTTCATGTCATGTTATTTTTTTATTGCAGGTAGACTTCTTTTAGGTATGTGTATGTCAAGTTGCTGGTGTCTGATGCCATTATTATAATGTATTTTTTCACGTGCAGTGACCTTGATACATTATACTGTTAAAGGTTGGTGGAGCACTTCAGTTATGATTTTGATTTGGCATTGCTGGAAATGAGGTTGCTCTTTAAGATATTGGGATATAGAGATGCTAGAGGTTTTATGAGAAGCCTCCCCTTTGAAGACCATTCAGGTCTGGTTCAACGAATTTTTGCTTTGGGAGAGGAGATTTTTTCGATGACCATAAATCCAATCGGCCCCTGTTAACCAGCAAAGGAAGCATTGAAGTTGCTCAAGTCCTCTTGATGGAAGAACCACATGTCTCGTATAGCAAAATTCAACATGCTTTGAGGGTTTCATCACGAATTGTGTATACCATCTTGCATGATCATTGAAAGTGGGAAAATGATACTCGTTAGGCATAACATGAGCTGCTAAAAGACTGAGTTGAATGGAGTTCTGTGAATTCATACTCGTATGGTTTGATAAAGGAAGGTTTAGAGACATCTTGTCATTCATAGATGATGAAACATGATGTATCTTTGCGACGTCCCAACTGTCTATTGTCTACTGTCGAACTCCATCACTAATGAAATTTCCATGAAGTACGGACAGGATCATGTTTGCCCCTTTTCACTCAGGTTTAGTGAAGACAGTCTGGCTGTAGGAGTGTTGCACAGCGACTGCCACATGATACTCTAACATTGGCTTTCCTGCTCTGCTCGAAGCTCGCAAAACAGGTCTCCGAGGCACCCTGCTTTTTCATGACAATGCTCCGACTCACTGTCAATCTAACTCTGAATTTTTTGAAGAAACAGAATGTCCACAAACTGTCTCATCTCCCCTACTCTCCAGACTTGGCACTGAGATTTTCATCTGTTCCCAAATTGAAGGAGAGCTTGCACGGAGAAAATAGTAGTCAAAAGAGTTTTACAGGGCTGGCTGTGAACGAAGTCTTGTCAGTCTTACGGGGAGAAACCGGGAAAAAGGTCTTTGAAATCTGGTTCAGACTAAATTTGTATCGAGAAAGGAGGAAAGTAGGTTTAAAAAGTGAAGTAACTTCGAAAAGAATCACTTCCAATGGTTTAGCTTTTATACTGGAGTGCAGGAACTTAGCGTGTGCCACTCGTATTATTGGCCGCTGGTTGGTCCAACGCTCCCTCAAATACTAATTGGATTTTCCATCCATTGAGTTGAATGGTGGTGCCCTATCCCCCCCCCCCCCCCCGTTTCCATTCCCCTCGGACACCAGTCAGGATGAGAAAAGTGTCGTATTCCTTGCTAAATTTGATCTCGGTAAATGTGTCACATGTTTGAAGAAAAGGGCACCCAGTCATACCGATCGACTTCGGAATCTGGGACTTGCATCGAAGAGTTCCCGGCTCCCTTCTCTACGTTCTTCATTTTCATAAACAAAGAATCGTTTGGCAAGTAAAGAATTGTAATTTAATCTATAGATGGCGAATGCAGAACTAAACTTTGGCCACCTCAAAGAAGTTCTTTTTAATTAAGTCCGGAATATTCAACTATCCCGGATCTAGACGAGACGTCTTTCAAAGGTGTAAGCTGAGACACATCAATGGAAAAGCCCTCACAGGGAAGCATTGATGAGCGCGGGACCTCGTTCTGTACCATTTTAAAGCTTCCAGAGACGGGAATGAAAATATTGACAGAGATGGGAGTGCTCAGAGACCCACACTACAAAGCACTTAATAAAGGGAACAGCAAAAAGACGTGAGTTCCCGAGTACTTCGGCCAAGAAGGCCTTCAACGAATGGTTGTGTTGTACCTGAAGGGAATAAGATGAACAAACAAAGAAAAGAAAGGAAATCAGGAACCAAATAAGAAGTGAATGGAAGGGTTGATGCCGTTAGGAGAGCAGGTGCCAACATGAAATATATTTCTCCTTTCCAAAGAACGACGAGAACCCCGAGAGGAATGAGAATGGTGGAGACCCTATGTTCTGACGTCGATGGAATGATTCGGTAGACAGAAATGAGATAGAACCGGTTCAGAAGATTTAGCGCGAATACCCCCGAAAGTGCTCCACAAAAAGGATCTCCCAATTCGCCGATTTCCTAGTGCGCGCGAGGGAATCACTTTCATTTAGTCTTTTGCTCATGAAATTATTCTCCGAAGCTATAGAAGTTTTGCGATGAGATTTGGCATCGACGTAGCTTTAGCATCGGTCATAAGGTAATAAGAGCTTCATTTGAAAACTTCCGTTGGTAAAGGAAACGATCTCGCGCATAATGAACTGCCCGCTATCCACTGAGTCGGTCTTGTCCTCCCCCCTCCCCAGCAAACTTTCAATTTTCATATATTCATGAATTTTAAATTATTTCCATAAAGTACTATGAACCCTTTCTGAAAGCAACTTGGGGTTCAGATGGAAAAGGGAAATCATTAACCCATTCAGTGCTATGGTCGTGTATGCACTTCGTGAAATTTTCTCCGTCAGGTAATGCCAATAAAAACAGGAGTTCAGTAGACTCAGTTATAGTCGTTTTATTTCATTTCCGCAAAATGCGTTTTCCTCAAAAAGTATTCAGCATAGGGAGTGCAATTTCGTGAGAGAACATTCAGCACTTAGGGGGTTAAAACGATGAAATTCGAGGAGTTGAAGTAAAAAAAAAATTTTCTGCCAAGGATGAATCTCAAGAATCTTCCCAGAATCTCAAGATCATGTCAAGTGCGTTTTCCTCCTCCTCAGTATTAAACTGAGTATTATTCAAAAAGCTGATTGCTTTCATTTTTCGTTTTCCCTTCGGTAAGCTTGAGTTGGCTCACGAGGAAGTGGATTGATCAATTTGAAGAAAAAAATTTTTATTCGAAGGCCACATCCATTCAGCACGATATGATTGATGTACAGTTTTCTCCAAAAGCATTCTGCTGTAATCTTTTTATACACCCGGAAAAAATCAGGTCACGCCGAGCGACCAATTTGCATTTCCTCTCAGCTATGAATAGCATTATAAATGTATGTAAAGTCTATATGCATTCGCCTTTTCGTGTAGGCGTCCTTATTCGAGAAAAACATCGGTATGCTTTTATTCTCAAGTCTCAGAAAAGAACAGGGTTTCCCGTCTAACGCAATGACATTATTTCGAGCAAGAAGCACTGTTATTGTGACGATGTCAATCGCTAGAAAGCTTCACCGTTTGAAATGTTTCTTATTTCAGATTTCAGAATATTTTCCTCGGGTGGAAAATATTCTGAATAAAAAATTGCCCTGTAAAGGTAGTTGACCCCTCCAGGAAGCCAGGAATCTCTTGGTACGATCGATCGCGATCGAGTTGACGCAGATACCAGAGTAAACGCTCGTGCACTGGAATGAAAAAATCCTTCTCTGTCTTCTTCCCGCATGCCTGTACACCGGGACGACCCTTAATCGCCCTCCATCGAATCAACATCACGTTAAATAAACCAGGGAATCAATAGTCTCGCCGTGAATCGATAGATTGAAGTGGAGGTTCGGGAACGATTCAGCTCATGGAACTCCTTTGAGCCCTGGAGCATGGGAATATCTTCCTCGGCCGAAGGCCGAGTCGTCTTTCGGGGCTCCACCCCCGCTCTCTTCGCTCTCAATACGTCACCGATTGAGATCACTGACGGCCTGTGAGAGAAGTGGAACTGGCATTCGGCGAACCTCTTTGCGATCACGTCAAATCTCATCCCAATGAGGAACCGTCCTGAGTCAAAGGCTCCCGAAGATGTCTCCAATAGGTAGCCACTTTTCATCGTGTGAGAGCTCCAAGTCCCTTTATTTGGATACGAGATGCTAGGTGATGGTGTTGATGCATGAAGGCAAAGAAAGACTGGATGGCTTGGCGATACTCGTATTAATATCTGTGACAGCTCATGTAGGGAAGAGGGATGGACTTTCTACGTGGTTGGACAAGACACTGGCTGGTATGCAAGAACGTATAAGACCGATAAAATAGCTATTTTGGGGGGTATCAAATGATACGTTTGATAGGTTGGCCATATGCAGAAACATTTTATACCTATCATGATAGGGTATCATGATAGGTATAGGTATAAGAATCGTTTCAATCTATTATGATCCAGAACTTGTTTATTCTGTTTATAACAAGCTACCAGGGTGGATTGCAGTGCATTTTACTAATCAAATTAATTATGTGGACCGTCGCAACTTGTGCTGAGCAGAGTTACTCTGGGATAGATTACATCCCGTGGAATTCATTGTATCAAGCTACGGCAATCGAAATTCAATCACTAGTCAGGTAAACGGGGACAGATTAACACCATTAAATAATCACACAACACTCTGGTCAGTCATGCGTGCAGAAACATATGCCATTGTTCCTGGGCAGGAGACGATGGATAGGAGGTTGTCATTAGGAAGATTCACGAATACTTATCGTAATAGGTATGATGATACCTATCAAAATAGGCCTCACGATGGATACCTATAAATTGTTCTTGCATATGGAACTAAGCAAATTATAGACCTATCGCCTGATACCTATCATGATAGCTACCATATGATAGGCTATCAAGAGATAGGTTCTTGCATATGGGCCACTGTGTAATGTCCCTATACAAGCAGCATTAGGACAAATCGAATACCCATAATTCGTCCCTTGGACAAATGGACTTGAAAAAATGGACTAGGCGCCAACCAATGCTTTTCCTTAAAAAATTGGTGAA